GCGCCCATGAACACTGTGCCTCTCTGCCCCCCTCCCCACCCAGAGCCTGACCTGGAGGACTGCAGTTTTGGCTGCCGAGGGACGTCGCCCCAGGAGAGTCTCTCTTCCATGTGAGTGTCCTTCAGGAGTCCTCGCCGGGCTTTGGCGAGGCGGGGGGGGTGTCTCTCCACATCTGGGTAGGCAGGGCGGTGCCCTGGGACACCGTGGGATGACACAGCAAGGGAAGGGAGAGAGTCTGGGGGAAGTAGAGGCAGCTCCTTCCCTCCTCCTTGGGGCTGGGAGTGGGATGGGAGGAGGCAGGTTTGCTTCTCCGCCACGAGCCGGGAGCGGAGGAGACGGGCTGGGAGGGATGCAGGGGTGAGGCAGAGAAGATGCGGGGAGACGGGAGCAGCGGAGCGCGGGTGCAGACTCGGGAAATATCTCTGACATCTCCCCAACCCTCTCCCAGGTCCCCCATCAGCAGCCTGCCGACCCTCTTCGACCAGACGGTGTCCTGTAGCAGCAGCGGGCAGCTGGAGAATGTTCCCCAGGCGACCCCAAACATTGAGCAGCTCCTGGAGAAGCAGGGCAACGGGGAAGCTGGCGTAAACAGTGAGTCGCTCAGGGCATGGGCTGTGGGAGGAGAGGTCCTTCTGCATGTTTGTGTGGGAGCCAGCTGGGATTTTGCCCACGGGCAAAGGAGCTGGGTGGGGGACAAAGCACTGCTCTGTGCCATGGGGAAGTAGCTGGCAGTGGGACTGTGATCTGGGGCCAATCTCCTCCCTCAGCGTGGTCTAACTGTGGTACCTCCTGTGGATCCCCTTCTCCTCTCTCCTCCTTCCCCCATTCTCTCCCCTGACCCTGTCCCCCTTCCCCCTTTCCGTTCCCTGCAGTTGTAGAAATGCTCAAAGCCCTGCACTCGCTGCAGAAGGAGAACCAGCGCCTCCAGGAGCAGATCATGACGCTGACGGCCAAGAAGGAGCGTTTGCAGCTCCTCAACGTCCAGCTCTCTGTCCCTTTCCCCGTGGTGACCAGCAGCAACGGCCCAGGCAGCCAAGCCCAGTACATTCTGCCTCCCAATGGTGAGGGAACGGGGGGGATGCATCACCGTCTGCCCTTTCCTAGCGGTGCCCTGGGGTGGGCGGGGGGGGGTCGCAGTGGGGAGGACCTGACCCATTTATCTCTCTGTAGCCACTGTCCCTTGCTATTGCTGTGGCAACGTCAGGCTCCATCCCTGACTCTGCATCCTCACTTCTTTCCTCCCTACAGTCTGCAACAACGATTCCCTGAGCATCAGCAAGAGCCCCCCATGCAAGAACAGCTTTGGGATCGAGAACTCGCTCTCCACTTCCTCTGAGGTACGTTGGCCACCACGTGTGCCAGCCAGCTGGGGACGGGACCTGGGGAGGGAGCAGAGCAGCACAGTCCCAGTCCTTTGACTCCGTAGCCAGCTCATAAAGCCTTGTAGTCCAGGCCCAGAAATCAGTTTTTTTTTCTCTGGAGTGCCCGTTCTTCAGTTCATCTCAGCGCTGAGGGTCTGAGTCAGAGTAGCTGAGGCTGGGAGCGTGAGGTGAGGAAGCTTCTAGGTTATTCTGGCCACGCTTCTAGAGATCCAGCAAAGCAGGTGTGAGTTCTGGGACCCCTCCGAGCGCACGCCTGCACTTGCACTCACAGCCCCCCCTTCCCACCTCCGGCTCCTGCCCAAAGCCCGACTGGAGCTAAGCTGACCTTTCACAAGCTTCCCCAGTCCGATGCTCTTATGTCCGTTTCTCCCCCAGGACCCTCATTCAGGTTGCCCCAGCAGGAGCAGCTCCTCCCTGTCCTTCCACAGCACTCCTCCACCCCTGCCCATGCTGCAGCAGAGTCCTGCCTCGCTACCCCTGCCCGGGGTGCAGCAGGTGAATGGCCTGGCCAGGGTGGCAGGCAGCGGGCTGGGGGGAGGCACCACTGCCAGCCACAGCCTCTCCACGGTGCCCATGGTGGACGGCCTGATGGGGACCCTGGCAGGAGGCCAGCAGATGCCCATCAACGGGATCCTGGGGAATCTGAACGGAGCTCAGGCCGCCCAGCCTCCGAGCGCGCTGACGCAGGCGAGCGGGCCGCCGACCTTGCAGCTCTCCACCAGCCTGAGCAGGTGAGGACGGGGAGCTTGCGGGGACAGCCCTGCCCTCTCCAGCAGAAGCGTAGCACCGAGAGGGAGGGATGGAGGGAGGCCCTGCCTGTGCAGGACCAAGACGGGCCGCGCTGACGTCCCCCCCGCCCTTGCTCCCCTTGCAGCGTGCCCAGCCTGAGTCCCCTGACAGAGCAGCAGCGGCACGTCCTGCACCAACACGAACAACAGCTCCAGCAGCTTCAGCAGCTCCTGACTTCCCAGCCGCTTAATCCGGTAAGCGTGCCTGCTGGCACCTTTTATCTGATGAAGTGTTTAATGGGAAAGCCTCGGAGCAGAGAGCAAAACTCAGGGCTCCCTCCTGCACCTTGAATCCCCTGCCCACAGGGCTGTGAGAGTCATGTGCCTTTTCCTTGGCTCCGGGGCTGCGGTGGGTGGTGTGAGGAGAAAAGCTTTAGGCAGGAAGGTGCGGCCCCTCCGGGAGGGAGGGAGATGGGGATTTGAACTTTTTCATACAAAGGAAAGAATTTAATATGGGTTTCCCACATCCTGAGGGTGTGAGAACATGGTAACTAAAGCCACCGCAAAGTCAGGAGTGCCGTTACCTCCTCCAGCCATCTCTGAGTGCAAGTCCTGTCTGCTCCTGCTGCCACGAGCACGCTGGTCTCTGGGCTTGCAGATGTGCCAGGGCCCACAGGAGAAGAGGAACTCACCTGAGGACACTTCTTGAGTTTAGAAAGAGATAAGCACCAAATTATCTAGTCCCGAGGCAGGCGAGCTGTGTCTGGGCAAACTGGAGGTGCCAGAGGCACTTGTAACGTGGAGGTAGCTGAGGATTTCAGGGTCAGAAAAAGGAGCAGGCAGCTGTTGTGAGGATCTTGGCTTTCTGCCTGCACTCTCTCGGGCAAAACAGCAGCCCCGTCCCAGGCTGCTGTGGGAATGGCTGCCTGGGGAAGATGTAAACAAGCCCCCGAGTGTGTAAGAACCGCATTCACGTGCCCCGTAGAACCCGCTGTGGTGTCCCTCCCCTGCGGTGGAGTTGCACAGGAGTGCTAACAGTTCCCGTCAATGAAGCTGTGCTCATTTATATCTCCCATCAGCTTGGCCCATTGCTTTGGATAGATTTCTGGGTCAGGCTATTTATAACTCGGGGAAAAGCAAATTTCAAAGGGCTTCTCTTTACAGCAGCTGATGTCACCGTGTCATCAGCTGCATCCCTGTGGGTACGGGAACAATGTCAGCTCTCAGCCTGCCGCATTGGTCGATGGTTGCTATAGTGATTGCCGTGGTTTGGTTGGATTGAGGGCGTCCCTCCGGGTGCAGGTGAGCTGTGGCCCTCGTCCCCCTGAGCCTGGCTCACCTACCCCGACCCTGTGGGTCAGGGCAGAGGTATGAAGCAGGATAGGGCTGGGGAAGGAAATTAGCAGCCAATCTAGAAATTCCAGATTGTGAATGCCCCAGACTTAAAAGCCGTGGGTTGATTGATTGATTGGAAAGAGCTGGGTAGAAATGTGTGCCTGCAGGTGTCTTAGTCAGGGTTAACTAATCCTCCACTCCAGGAAACAACTGGGTTGGAAAGGTCAGGAGCACAGGCTGTTAACGGACACAGGACAGACTGTTCCTCTCTGTACCGATAGAGATGTGATCGAGGGGACTTTCTCCCTGTCCCCAGTAGCTTTGCCAAGGGTGGGGAGTGCCCACGTGGCTCCTGGCTCCTTTGTATTAGGTGTCACTGCTTCCTGAGCCCTCTGTCCTTCTGACTTCTCTTCCTCACCCTTCCCCGCAGGAGCAGCAGGCCCTGGTGTTCCAGATGATGCAGCAAATCCAGCAGAAGAGGGAGCTGCAGCGGCTGCAGATGACCAGCTCGTCCCAGCTGTCCATGACCAGCCTCCTGGCAGCCACCTCCGCCCCCCTGCACTCCAGCACCAGCGCCCTGATGACCTCGGCCCCCCCGCCGCCCCCCAGCAGCAGCTCTCTCATGGCCTCCCTCTCCCCCCAGCAGCTCAACCCTAGCAATGCCCTCCTGGCCCCCCAGGCCACCCCACCGCTCAGCGCTCCTGGGAGCAACCTCCTGGCTTCGGGGACGGGCATCCCGCCCGTCCTTACAGCACAGACTAACCCGTTTCTCAACCTGCAGGCTGATGGCAACACCCCGAAAGGAACGGTGCGTATGCTGCTAGCACTACCCTAACCCCGAGCTCGTGGTGCTAGGCGCTCTCCAGGCTGCGGTTACCCCAGGGCAGCGAGGGCACCGCTTAGGCAACAGAGCCAGAACGCTCCCCTGGCTTTGCTGCACCCCTGGCTAGCCACTGTCACGTCCTGATCCTACCTCCGAGGACTTTGTAGGGCCCAGACAGGGTCGTGGGTAGGCCCAGAGGCTCCCAAGGTGCCCTTGCACACGTGTGTGTGCAGACACACGCCAGACCTGCTGCAGGAGCACGGCAGAGACAGGCCATAGATTTTTGTCTCCGTTAACCCTAGGACTTGGATGGGACAATGTGCCCCTGGCCCTTATTGGAGCCTCGTGAGGAAATACGAAGGTGACTGCATGCTGAAACCCAGGGTTTAGAAGGAACCTGACACCCGAGAGGTTGCGACCAGGTTTACAGCCCCTCGGTAAAGCAGCCTTGTACTGGAACACCAGTGTCTAGGGACTGATGGTGTGATACTTTCATCTCTCCTCCATCCCTCCCCTGGCCTATACCTCTGCCCAGAAGGTCCAGCCCTGGCTGGAAACATTTAGGAGCCAAAGGCCAGGGTTGAGGGGCCAGTTCAGCCTGAACTGGGCAGAGGGGACCCCTGGGGCTCCCGTGTCTCCGTTGATCTCGGAGGAGCCCGAGAGGTTGCGGTGAGCAGGGCCGGGTCCGCAGCACAGCAGGGCTCTCTGCTTCTGCCCCCTCGTGTTGCTGCCCATCCAGTACTGACACCTGTCTCCTCTGCGTCTCTTTTTTTTCTGTTTGTTTTTTAAAGAGCATGAATGAAAAGGGAGCTCCTCTTACCCAGGACAAGGGCTAAGCTCCCCCCCTCACCCCGAACAAACCAGCAGCCAACTCCTCTCAGCCAGGGGAATATGGCTTTCCACAGTCAACTTTGATACTGTTAGAGCAATGAGCACAAGGCTTCCAAGAAGCATTTCCTGCCGCTGGGCAATGCCAAGAGGTGCTTTGGAAGACAGTACATCTCTGCCCAAGCCCTGGTATCGGGAGGAGCGAAGGCGGGGGGCTGCCTGCCGCCCTGGTCCGTGCCACACGCGCTCCAAACGAAGCTGCGTTTCCAGGCAGAGTGGAGGAGAGAGTTAACACCCGATGGCTGCCAGCCTCCTCCCTGCCCTGAGTGTGTTCAGGTGTGTGTAACCCCCCCCCAGGCCGAGGCACTAGAGACCACCGGGCATCCTTGGCCGAGACCTTGGCGGAGGGAGGCCCCTCTGCTGAGGACTTTCTGCCCCATGCAGAGGATTCTGGCGGTGCCCTTGGAGGCAGCACTGGCTTGTGACACAGCTGGGCGAGCGGGACGTGGTGCCTGCGTGGTTTGCTTCGCCCGGATGGGGAGGTTAAGAAGTCGTCCTGTGGCTGAGATTTCTCACCTGCTTTTCATCTGCTGGGCTCTTGGGATGCTCTTCTCTCTGTAGCCACCGTACGAAGCCCCGGCTCAGGTGGATCCAAACCCAGCCAGAAAAGACACGAGTGGTGGAGCGATGGGTGAGGACCGGTGCTGGGGGAGGAGGTGAAAGCTTCCTCAGAGGACGTTGCCACATCTGCTCCGCCAGCTGCTGTCGGGTCGGTGCTGTACTTTTCCCGTGAAAAAGCACACTCCTGCTCCTTGTGCCATCTCTCTTTCCTTCCAAGATTTCCAAAGGCTAAAACTTCAGCTTGCAAAAAGGGGCTGTAGCCAGTATTACCCCTGTCGTAGCCAACTTCCCAAGGTGCATTTGAACCTGGCAGTTGTTTCCCAGGCCTGAGCTGGCAGCTAGAAATGTGTGTGGGGAAGAGAGAATCCCCAATCCGGTACCTGTTCTTTCTCACCCACCACAAATCGCTCCAGTCCGGCCAAACCACGTTCTTCCACGGGTCTTGGGCACTTCAGAAGAGGGATCTCCAAGCAATGGGACAGTTACAAGTCTCCTGAGCTAGGACATTGGACCCTTCGTTGTTTTCCACCTTTTGACCTTAACTCCGTCTTGCAGCCTGGAACTTCAGCACAGAAATCGGCTTCCTCTGAGCTCGGATGCGATGGATTGATTGAAGGACAGGTGGGGCAACTCTGGGGAAGGGGGAACATCTACGTCAAACGTACAAACGCCCCTTCTTTTCCTCATCCCCTGGTTAAATCCAGAGCTCCTGGGGGCAGGCGGGAAGACTCCAGCTAATAGAAACTCTGAGGGTCTTAAAAAAAAAAAAAAAAAAAAAAATTCAGACCTTAATGGATATTTTTCAGCACATTCCCGCTGCCTCTAACTAGTTTGCACTATTCAAATTTGTCGGCAGTGGGTCTGTGCTGATAGTACTAGAAAAGCTTGTTGTAGGCAAAACTCATCGGCTAAATATCTTTCTTCCTTTTAATTTTATTTTATTTCTTTTTATTTGTTTGGAAGAATGTCACCACAATGGTTGAATAAGGCTAAAAGGAGAGAAAATACCTTTCTGATGTCAGCCTCCAGTTCTGTGAACTGGGCAGAACACTGCTGTCTGCTCAGAAATATATATATATTATATATATATAATTTTTTTTTTATAAAGAAAAACTGTTTTAACAAGGTTAAGAAGCTATTGGAAAGATGGAGATGGCAGCTAAAAGTGAAAATGCAGGAAAAAAAAAAAAAAAAGTCTCCCTTCCTTGCTTGCAGTCTCTGCAGCACAGACCGAGAGGAGCACTGAGCCGAGACGGTCCCTGTCCCCTGCCACCTCCCGAGGACGTCCCGGGCTGAGCTGTGCCACCCTCCATCCGCCTGGGACAAACTGTGAATGACATCTTTCACTTGCAAAAAGGTTTAATTTTGGCTCCCTATCCCCAAAATTGCTCTGGCACAATTGTGTGCTTGCACTTTTTTTTTTTTTTTTTTTTTTTTTTTTTTTTTTTAATTTTTTTACTCTTAAGGTCCCAAATTCGCGTTGCCACCTGTTTTGCTGTCATGCTGACCATCAGCACGGCCTCCAAACCAGTCTGTAACCACAAAGGGCCTGACATCGTGCCCAGACCTGGTCAGACTCTTCCAAAATTTAACTACATTTCACACCCTGGAATTAGAAACACGCCGGTACCAGGAAGAGGGAACGGGAAGGAGGGAAGGCTGGTTGGCATCTGTCCCTTCCGTAGCGAGTCATGGTACGTGCGTTGTCTCGCAGGACAAACAAAAACCAGCAGTGGTTTGGTGCCCAAACCCCTGGGCAACAACAGAAAACTTTTCAGGGGTCGGTGAGAGGTCCTTCCTGGTGGGTTTGCAGTCAGGAGGCTGAAACGTGCCCGCACGGGGCTCTGCCCTGCTCCTGGGAGGGAATTTGGGAGCCCGCGTGTCACAAATCAAGGCCGGAATTGAAGGAGGGGGTGTTGCAGGCTGGGTTGCCGGCGGGAGCAGTGCGGGCCGAGCTGCGCTGCGTCCCCGTCCTGGCCGTGCCGTTGAGGTTTGTCGGTGGCAGTAGTTTGGGGATGAAGCCCCTCTGCTCTCCGGGGCTCTCCGGAGCAGGGAGGGACGAGAGAGGTGGAGGGGAAGAGACATACAGCACTTACACATTTCTCTGACATCTTCCAAAGGCGCCCGGTCCCTTTGAAGTGCGCTCCTTGTCTAATCGCCTCAACCTGTCCCAGAGCCAAAGGTCCCTTTGGCAGATTGAGGGGAGAGGGGGGGGCACTGCTGGAAGGTCGACATCAAACGTTTGTATCTCTGTGAAAAAGAGGGAGAGCAAGGGGAAAGAAAAGAAAAGAAAAAAAAAAAAGCTAAAGATTATCTGTGTTTCAGTTGCACTGGGGTACGTTTCTTTACCCGTTTTGATGCTAATGTCTCATTTAGTATGTTGCATGTGTCTTTTTTTTTTTGTTTTGATTTGTTTTTTTTATTGAATAAAAGAGAAAAATGTGTATATTTTTGGCAATTTAAGGTAATGTAGCTAAGATATATTTTTTTCACGCTGCTTGACTGTTCTTTATTATAATAAATAATATTAATATTGATATCAAAGACTTTTTTAATACAGCTAGGGTTTTCAAAAATTGCAATGAGAATAGGGTCTGTGTGATTGACGTCCTGCGTCAGGGCTGAGGTCCCTGCTTGGCCCTGCCCTGAGCCTGCGATGCCCCAGGGGAAGTTCCCAGCCTGGCTCCTTCCCGACTTCGCACCTTGGGAGCAAAGGGGGAGGCAGGAGCAGTTGGTGGTTGGTAGCACAAAGGTCTCTCGCTCCCCCAGAGACCAGCGAGAGCCCGTGTGAGGCACTAGATGCCCAAAACCAAACTCACTGACTTTAAGCTTTGCAGCTGCTCCTCGGTCCGCCCCGCTCCCAAGAGTTTCTTTCTCTTAAGCACCAAAGGGAAGGGCTCGTGCTGTTTCTGCTTTATTCTGAGTTTTTTTTCCCCCCCCCCCAAACAGCCCCACATAGCTGGGTGATGAGATCTTTTCAAAATATGGTTTGAAGACGTGTCCCGCTCTGGAGAAAACCCGCTCCAGTGCTCAGCTCTTAGATCTGGCTTGGCACTTGGCTGGGTCATGCTTCAAAACTGCGTGTTTCTCCGTCTCGTAGCCCACAGGCTCCACGGTTCTGCTTTCTCCTTACGCTTTTAAATCAGAAACTGGTTTTCTTGACCTTTTGTTTTTCCCCACCCGCGTGTGCCCGCGTCCCATCAGCGAGCTGGGCCCTGCTTGCCCTCGGGGTTCGTGGGGCTCCTTTCAACAGCCCAGGAGAAGTTCTTCCCCCCCCGGCACCCGATCCTTCCACAGTGCTTTTCTCTTTCTCATTGACCAGCAGGCAGTGTTGCCACCCGGGAGAGGCAAACTGGAAACCAAAGAATTGGCCCAGGTTTTTCCAGACAGCCCAAGGGAGCGCAGAGTGAGCTGGAGACACAGGAGTTGGGAGTTTTATCTTTGAGTGGTTTTGGTCACCCAGAGGAAGCGGAGCTTGGCATGTGAAGTCTTGTAGAGTTGGGCCATCAAATGCTCTGGGGTCGTTGTAGGAAACTTTCAGCTGATTTTTGAAGGGAAAAAGATGTTTGGCGTCTGGTTCTGAGGACTCGGTTGCTCTCTGCAGTAGCTGGTGGCTGCGGATCCTCCTCTTTGTGCCTGGTTGTGGTTAGTGCTGGGGCGCAGGCTGGGAGGGAGCCCCAGGGGAGGCCCGTGGAGCACCGAGGTCCCAGATGCCCTTGTGCTGTGTTTCTTGGAGCCCTGAATTATGAAAAAGAAGATGAATATTTCTGTAGAGTTGTGTTGGCTTGTTCCTGGCACGGTTCTTCTCTTTCCACCGCTTGGCTCTCGGTAGCATTTCTGTTCCTTTGCATGGGTGGGGACTGGAGAGCTGGGTGAGGAAGGTGCTGAGCAACGTTCGGTGGTTTTGTGCCCAACGAGCAGGTCGTGGCATCTTCTTGGACCGGGATAAGGAGGGAAAACACCCCTGTAGCAGATGCATGGAATGCAGCCGTCCTACACCGAGCCCCTCTCTGCCACAGGTCTCACCCGACCGGTCACCAGTGTCCCCTGGACACAGCTCTGGTACAAACGGGGGCTCCCACGGCCCCGGCGCTCGCTGGACTCTGCAAACCCCTGGTTTTCTCTCTGCTGCCGCGCTGGCACACGCGCTCCAGCCGCCCCAGCGGGACGGGGCAGGTTCAGGCTCCGGCACCGTCCCCGCAGGCTGCGCGGACGCAGGCGGCTTGAGCCCCTTGGCTCTGTACCAAAGACAATAGAGACATGGATGAGGTCTTCTCACGTGCTCAGGAGAGGACTCCAGAGAAGACATACCAAGCAGATGGTGTCATTCTCTTCGGGGTGAAATGTTCAGGCTAGTTGGCAGGGCGAGAGGTGACCGATGCGTCTGAAGCGAGCGGTGGTGGAGCGGCTCCCTCGGGGCTCGGAACAGGCGGCGGGTGGTTGGCGTGAGCAGAAACTTTCCTGCTGCAGAAAAGGAAATCTGCCGGGGGCCTTCACTGCTCTGTGCAAGTCCACCCCTTGGTCTGAAGGCTCCCAAGAGCTCTCTGGAGGACGGCGTGGCCACGGCTCGCACCGGGGGCCAGCTGTACGCAGAGCACTCCAGATCCTTTCACCTCAAAGCCTGGTTTGTTTTCACACCCCCCTCCCGCGCACGCGTCGCCCTGTCCAGCTGGCAATAAGGGCTTGGTTTTGTGTTTGCCGAGGAGGAAACCTGCATCGTCCCTCGGGTTCCAGCCTGGCCGGGGCCGAGCAGCCAGCGCTGTGCCCAAAGTGGTTTTCTGAGGGTTCTCCTCCAACCCAGCCGGTCCGTCGGAGCTGGCAGCTCCTGCCGCGCTGTTATTTACCGTTGCCCTTGGTATATGCTGTGCTGTGTGGTTTCTTAAACCCACCTAAGTAAAAATAATCAAGTGCCTGTGATCAAAACAGCCTCGAGGCAGGGAGTTGAATGGGTCCCTGGTGCCTCTCCTTTGTGCATTTAGTCTGAGAAATGGCGTTGTCATAAAGGCTGTGGATGTCACCTTTGCAGGAAAGGGTGAAGTAGCAATAATTTTAATAGTAGCTTTGCAGCAGCAGGTCTGAAACTGCAATTCGGAGGTGTCCTCTCCCCTCCCATGTTCCAGATGGGGAAGCAGAGGCACAGAAAGGACTAACTGGCTCAGGAGCCACGTCTCCTGCGCTTTGTTCTCCCCTCCCCTGCCCAGAAAAGGGACGCCAGCTCTGTGGTACCCACCCAGCCGTGGGCTCCTGGGTGTCCCGTGTGGTTTCAATCCTGCGGGGAAGCTTCTTGGACCCACGGGGTGCGGAGACAGCTCAGGAGCTCCCAAGCGTGTGCAGCTCCCAGCCCCTGTGGTCCTTAGAGCAGCACGGGATGGGCACAGCCCAGCTCCAGCCTCTCGGGGCAATCGCTGCTGCGCGGGGCAGCGAGGGCAGGCGCAGCCTTTCCTTTAGCTCCGTGGGTTTTGCGTGAGGCTCCTCAGCACAGAAAAATCCCCTCCCGACCCACAGCTGCCCTCCTCAGGACAGCAGGCCCGGGGCATCACTGCGGTGGGAGCTGCGGACTACAGACGGGGGTAGATGGTGGGAGCAGCCGCGCGACAAAGAAGGGGTTTGGGGGTGTTTTTGGCTGGTGAGACCTTTGGCGAGGTCGTGCTCAAGGGGAGAGTTCGGGCTCAGCCAAATCCACAGATCCCCATTTATCCCTTCCCTGCCTGGGCTCCCCCCTCGCAGCTCCCCGCCACAAACCCACGGCTCAGACTGGCCTGATGGAGGGAAGGAAGCTTTTGGTGTTTTTTTTTTTAATTGATATTCCAACATTTATCAGAACTTGAAGAAATCAGTTCATGCTAACAGTGGTTAAAAAGTAGGAAAATGAAAAAAAAAAACCTCTGTTTAGTTAACGATTATCAGTTTAACTTTGAAAAAGTCATCGGTATCCTGCCCAGCAATTTGTGACTCTGCTCCAAATTACGTGTGACATCGCAGCTGAAGGGTAAAGCACAGAAAACCCCTCCAGGGCCTGGTTTGTATTTTTTAATTTAAGCAGCAAATGCAAAGTTTTAGCACCTGCCTGGGCTGTAGGGAGCCTCTGCAAGACAGTTTGATTAAATCCGCGGCGAGAGGGAGGGTCTGTGACCCAGGTTAGGCAGGGAGCAGCCCAGGGTCCTGCCCCACAGGAGCTGTTTGATCCCCCTGCTTGGGGAAGCGGCAGAGGTCTGGCCCTGCGCAGCCTGGATTTCAGAGGGATTTAAGCCCAGCCTAGGCGTTACAGGGCTCCCCACAGCAGAGCCAGTCTCGAGGGGGCCAGTGGAAAAGGGATGAGCACAAAAAGGGAGCGGGGTGAGAAGCGAGGAGCTGCAAATACAACCTAAAAATTCAAGCAGATATTTGTATGGTTGTTTTGTTGTTTTGATTTGTTGGTTTGTTGTTTTTTTTTTTTCCCTAAGAAAAGGTTTTTATTTGAAAACTACGCGGGCAGGTTTGTAGCCAGGAACGTACGTTTCTGACATATTTGTGCAACTGCCGCACGTCGGCGTCTTCCTCGCTTGCTGCAGGGGGCTCGCAGGGAGTTTTAATTTCTTCCTAAGGACAAAAAAAAAAAACCAAACAAACAAATCAGGTGCTAAGGGCAGCAGGATCTCTTAGAAAACTGCTCCCGTTTACCCTTCTTCCATCTTCAGTGGGAAAGGCAGTCAGCGCGCCTCATTTTTCTCTCCCTTGTGTATAACGCAAAGAACGTCTTTGTATCCTCGATGTATTTGTACGACTGAGAAATTGTCACAGTCCTTGTGCTTTTTATGAAAAGAATGTTTTTTTAAAAAAATAAATAAATAAAAAGTAGGCTGAAAAGATCCGCTTCCAGGTCCGCTCGTTTTCTGGGTGCCGCAGAGGAACGAGGTTACGGCAGGCCGACCCGTGGCCCGCAGCCGGGCTGCAGAGCCACAATAAACTCAGAATTTACAACCTCCGCAGCTCAGGATGCGCGGAGGGGCCGGGTGGGATGTCTCCGAGCGGCGCCGGGCAGCTGAAGCACCAAACCTGGGCCTGGAGGTTGAGGAGTCGCTGCCTGGGGAGGGGGAATTTTCTACCCCCGGCCCAGGGAGGAGCCCTTGGGAGGGGGTAGGGGGGCACTTTAGGAAGGAAAATAAACCGGCCTTGGGTTGGCCGTTGGGCTTATCGGCTCCCCAGGGTGATGCTCACGGTGCCTGATCCCGCCGGGAAGCTGGGATGGGGTGGGGGGGAGCAGCCCCCACGCAGGACACGCGGGGCCGTGAC